AATGTTGATCAGGGGAAACTCACCAGTCCACGAGATGGTGCAGTTCGCAGCCAGACCGATCAGACTCCATACCGAAAAATGCCTTTTGAGCTCTTGTTTATGGCCTAGGAATGGTCAACAACAGCACTTCAACGAATCCATTTAATAACGTACCCATCTGCGCCAAACGCAGTTCATCTGCATTTTGAACCCGAATGATACTAGAGGCATGGTCATCGACGGCGTCGGCCACAGGAGATGCCATTTTTGAGTCACCCATTGTGGTGGATGTGCATGAGGGAACGCAACAGACACAATCGAAAAGAAATGTGCTTGGTTCAAATAGAGAGCGTTAAACTAAGGTCAACATTTCTGCTCCGACCTATGTCGACTCGTGTGATCGTCTCCTTATCGAAACATACGGTGCTTATCGGAGACGGTGTCACCTTCGTATCGGACATCTTCCAGGATCGCCGGTGTGCCGACAACATGTCCGGGGAAGAGTTGAAGAGCGAATGAGAAACTGAATATTACGGGCTAGCGGAGTAGCTCCAGACCAAGAATGGTATGGTCGTTGTCGATCGACCCTCTCTCTCCTGAAGAATGCACTGTGGAACCGGGGACGACTTTCTTTGACACAACTACTCCGGGCTCTATAGACTGTCAAACGAGTTGTCTTTGCGGGGTCAGAATGCACTGATGCAACCGTAGCAAAGACATTATCATAAGGTTGTGCCCAAATCTATCTCGAGTCAAAGGAGCAATATGCCTCATGTTGACTCAGGGTGACCCAATAATCAGATGCCTCGAGTGACAACATTTGGCCGCAGCGAAATTCATGTTGTGCATTGAGTGCCAGCTCCAATGCGAACAACCAAAGCATTATCATCTGCGGTGATCTATAACTATCGTTGGATTTAATGAGTCGGGAGAACAATACTTGAGATAACGGATTTCCCAGATCCTGAAAAGAAGTCCCTGAAAAATGTTTGACTCCCGAGGTGAACACCAATGATCTCGGGGGCCTCGTAGTATCGTTCCAGGCTCTAGTTATACGCCCCCAACGCTGCTTGTCGGGCTTTTCATCCACTCACCTTCATGTGGACATATACTTTAAGTTTTCTACTTTGTTCCATGTCAGATTCTGTTAACTGATGATCTTGATGGCAATAGACCCGAAGAAAGTTCTGATGTCCAAAGTCTTCTTGAATATTCCGCTAGGCATTGGCCCGACCACTTCTGGAAGATGTCTTCGTTATCAGAGTCAGGATTGGGAGAACTATTAAGTCGATTGTATGTTTATATCCTTACCATTGTCAACAATCCCTTGGCAGCCTTTGCCTTGCTCGTCACACTAAGAACACGGCTCACCGTCTTGGCCACAGGCTGTCGAGGCACGGCATCATTGTCCCTGATCCCGGCCTCCCGTTTGACAGGATTACCATCCGCAGCAGTCTTTGCATTATCCATAACATACGGAGTATATAGTTTAGAGCCCCGGGATACCCTGGTCCCCATAGTGGGTCCAGGGTCCAAGGGTCTGGGGTTGAAGCAAAGTTGAGTGGAGTAATTTAATCCTCCAGTAATCAATGGATTTGACGCGCGCGTCACCGTAGCTCTTTATTGCTTCACCATATCTCACTATCATATTGTTACTTACAAGCTGCGTAAGCCCTTAGCATTATTCGTCCGACCTGCATAGCTTCTAACAATTTATTCCAGCCACTTCCGAGAACTGACTCGAATTTCTCTGCAAACTCGCGGACTCATTCGTCTACGTTGTATCACGTATGGGCCTCACAGGTGCAACAGGTACTCTAAATGCCAATCTACCACTGCTATTGAAACGAATCAAGCAATACGCTGGCAATGTCCCAACAGCAGTTGGTCCGGTGTCAAGCACAAGAGATCACTTCTCGAGTGTAGCCAGCATAGCACTTGGTGTTGTCATCAGCAGTTAGATTACCACAACCTTGGCCGAGGCCGCTCCTGGAGAGCGGGCCAAAGCTGCTGAGGAGTACTGCGCTGGGATATGTGGAAGGAAAAATTCACCAGAGTGTCGGACGACTCGTGAAGTTGGTATTATTAATGCATCGAATGGAGTTCAAGAGCTAAATGGTGCCGTGCAGGTGAATGGTACGGCTTATGCAAATGGCAACCAGTCAGGATTGCTCGATCAAAAAGCGGCAATGAATTCTGAGGGAGGAGATCCAGAACTGTTTCCTGCGTCCTTCGGTGAATTGGGGGCTCGTATTCCCCAGGATCGCTAATGGATTGCCTTGCAGAATTGGAGACAGGTTTTGAAAAAGTTCGGAATGAAACCGATTTTGGGCAGATTTTCGATCGTGCTACCTCTATCTAGGAAGGCCTGGGCATCTTCATGGGTTGAAGCGTGAGGATCTGAACCATACCCGGAAGCCATAAGATCAACAGTGCTCTGGACAGCTTTTTCTGGCTCGTCGCTTGGGTAAGACTGAAATCATTGCTCAGACCGGTGCCGTCATGCATGGTGTAGCAACTGCTACAGTCTGTGCTAAATCCAATCTGAAGAGCACAATATATATTATGATTAACTTTAGGAAAGAAGCTAGGTAATTAATATACAAAATTTTGCATGGGAGCAGTAAGTCCACAGGCTTGGAGCAGAGTTGCAAGTTTATATCTAACGGCTATATATGAAGATGTCAGGAGACAAGGACTGAACGTATTCACGATCAAATTACTGGGTGCTGAGGTCATCTCTATTGAGGCAGGCTCAAAAATCTTTTAGAGACGCCGTAAATGAAAGTTTTCGAGCTTGGATTACTACGGTTGACACTGCCTATCACAATATCGGTTCTGCAATTGGGCCACACCCGTTTCCCACGAACATGTTGGTTAATGTGAGAACCTCGCACTGGGCTGCGAAGGTTAGCCACTGAGGCAAAAGACCTACTATGATTGACCCCCTATGGTCAATCATGCCCAGCTTCCATATATATATCTTAAAGCCTTACTGGATGCCTCTAACAGTTAAACTGCAAAGGTTCCTCTTGGTTACAGGGGGATTGGATAGAACAATTCTAGAAACCAGGTAACATTGATAAGAAGCAATCATAATATTTCCGAGCAGGAGGACTACTCCATGTTACCTGGTAGTTGCTCTCTATCTTCTGTATTAGTTGCCTCAGGCAGTTTACAAATCTTATCTGCAACATAGAGCTGCATATTAGTAATTATGCTAACTTTATGCTTCTCAAATATCAACCAATCAGCGCCCATCCCATCGGGGCTGATTCAGGTTAAGTTGTGATGACTGCAATGGCGGCATTACGTCAGGGGAGAGAGCTAAGGTACAACAACCAGATCGCAAAAGATTGACCAGATTGGTCTTCGAGGGAACTCCAATCTGACAATGCTGTTCTCTGATCCTACTACGATACCAGTATGTTCACCAGAGACGCTGAACAAATCATAGGCCCTAGCAAGCGACTGTCGGCTTCGACCATCATCGAGCCATCTCGTATGTACGGAGTATAAGGTACAGGTACCTCTCTCAGTGTACCTTAGGGACACCAGTACCAGTACCTCTCTACCCCTCGCATTTTTATTAGCACCTACACAACTACCGCACCCTATCCATGGAACAGACCCTGTTATTTATTATTATCTCACAGTCCACTGGCAGGTGGGTGGGGAAACACGCGGGCTGGCAGTCTCCACTGCACGTCATCGGAACCAGCCCAATCGACCTGTCATGCCGCGGTGGCACTCTAATGTCAACGGCCAAAGCTGGGATCGATCCAATCACATACTCCCATCTGGGAAAAGGTGATATCAACGGGCTGGATGGGGGTGCGCAGACGATCGATGTAAATTCTCCGACTGGAAATCTGGGAGCACGACTAACGTAAGACTTTGTTGATGATCTCATCTAGGCGCTGTTAGCGAGTGGTTAGGCTCGGAAGCAGGATTGGTGTCTTGTATACAGATAGATGTACAGGGTAGTAGAACAGAGAGAGACAGTGAGAAACAGATATCTGTCTTAGATGCAATTGTCTGTCGTACACCAGGAGTGAGTCTATACTGTGATGTAATCTGACCATGGTGGATGTGTGTCTACTCCATCTACTATAATGTATAGAATAATAACAGCTTAAAACACACAAAATAATAAACAATTGCACCCCTGCACCCTGACGCAACTATGACTCCTCATCTATCTGCCGAAAAATCAAAAGCGAGGAAGGAAAAAGAAAACACAGATCAAGTATCAACGCTCATCCTGCACCGTGGTATGTACCTCCCGTGGAGTCCTCTGGCGGGGCCTTTTTCGGCCGGATATACAGTCATATTTAATCTACTTGAGCCTGTTGTCTTGCTCTTCTGTCCCCTGATTCGATATCCAGTCTCCCATACTAGCCTGTCCATCCACGGATCGACCCTTGGGCTCAAGCCACCGTCTGGTTCCAGTCGACTGTGGCTGGCTTTTGCGTTACCCTCATTACATATGTCCCCCGGGGTATGTCTTGCTTGATAGGAAGGAAGCGAATGGCGGGACAAGAGGCCAATGGAAGCAATAACTTGCTACTGGTGGGTTGGTCTGGCTTGGTGCATGATGATGTCGATACTCCATGACGTAGGATGATAATAGAAGCAAGTGATTGTTGCTTGTGTGCATTTAAATGAGTTGAGGGGGCATGTTGTGTTGAGATATTCGCACAGACAGACCTATACTACTCTACTCTAATTGACGCTGTATAATCAAATCATACTTTTATCTACGCAAAAGTTTATCTGATATTCACGAGATATTCAATTGCACTGTACTTTACTGCTATCACAGTTTAAAGCCTACGTTAACGATTGACGACTACGACTTATTGACTTACGAATTGACCTGGCAAACTCATACTTCGATATTGACCTGAAATTCTTTCAGCATTGGTCCCCAATTGACTTCGCTGAGAGATAGCTTCAACTACCCCTTTTATACCTCCGAGCCTTCAGAGCATATCGATTCTCATCCAGACGCTATCGAAATGTCCTCCCCAAGCGTTCGCGACCCCGACCAGAGAAACCCTGCCACCGCCCACAAGTCTCGCAAGGGTTCCGGTTCCAGCGCCGCATCCTCAAGACCGGAGGTCACCACTCCCAAGCACAAGAAAACTCCCCGCAAGCTGCAGACAAAAACCCCCAAACAGGTCGAGGAAGACGTTGACGACGAGAAGCCTCCCACCCCATCTCCCCAGCCGAAGAAGAAGACCCAGCCCGAGCCCGAGCCCGAGCCCGAGGAAACCCCGGCTCCCGAGGACAACCAGGAGGAGCCGGAGGAGCCAGAGGAGCAAGAGGAGGAAGAGGAGGCACCCTCTGTTTCTTCATCTAAGCCGAAGAAGAAGTCCAAGCCCGAGGCTGAGCAGCGGGGAATTTCGTCCCCTGTCCCAGACGATGCCCAGTCACAGGCATCCGGCTCTGCAAGCCGAAGTGGCAAGGCCTCGGACTTGGCAGGCACAGCCAAGGGTCTTGGTGGTAAGGTGAAGGATACCGCACAGGATGCCGGAGAGGAAGTCCAGAAGAACGTTCCCTCTACCCCTCTTGACCTGTCCGCCTTGAAGGGCCTTGAGGTGGGTGAAGGCGGTCAGGTCCTCGGTCAGGATGGAAACCCTCTGGGACGAGTGGTGGAAGGCGAGCCGGAGGATCTCGTTGGCCAGGAAGTGGGTGAGGACGGAGAGATCCTTGATGAAGACGGCGACCTCATTGGCCGTGTGGAGCTTCTGCCCGATGCAGCGCAAAATGTCACGGACAAGGCAAAGGAAGACCTTCCTACCGATGAAGCGCAGAATCTCACCGACAAGGCGAACGAGAATCTCCCTACCGATCTTGATCTATCCGCCCTGAAGGGCCTCGAGGTCGGTGAAGGTGGCCAGGTCCTTGGCAAGGATGGCAACCCCTTGGGACGAGTCGTCGAAGGCGAGCCTGAGGATCTCGTTGGCCAGGAAGTGGGTGATGATGGAGAGATTCTTGACGAAGACGGTGATCTCATCGGTCGCGTGGAGCTTCTGCCTGACGCTGCGCAGAACCTCACCGACAAGGCGAAGGATGTTCCAGAACAGGCTGAGGATGTTGCCTCGGAAGCGAAGGACACCGCAGACGAGACTGCCGATCAGGCCAAGGACAAGCTCGAAGAGACCGCTGATCAGGCCAAGGACAAGGCCGACGAAACGACCGAACAGGCCAAGAATGCCGTGACTGATCTCGCCGACCTCGACGGTCTTCCCGTCTCGGAAGAAGGACTCATCAAGAACAAGGACGGCCAAGCCGTCGGCAAAGTCGCCGAGGGAGATCCCGAGGATCTTGTTGGCTATACTGTGAATGACAAGGGAGGGATTGTCGACGAAGACGGCGACCTCATTGGCCGAGTGGAACTCTTGCCACAAGAAGCCCAGGATGTTACTGATAAGGCTGGTGAGATCCCCGAGCAGGCCGAGGATAAGGTAGAAGAGACGACCGAACAGGCTAAGAAAGCTGTGACCGACCTCGCCGACCTCGATGGCCTTCCAGTGTCTGATGGGGGCGTCGTTAAAGACAAGTCCGGCCAAGTCGTGGCAAAGATTGCCGAGGGCGACCCGGAGGACCTTGTCGGCTACACTCTGAACAACGAAGGCGAGGTCCTGGATGAGGATGGCGACGCCATCGGCCGCGCTGAAATCGTATCGCAACAAGCCAAGGACGCCACAGACGGGATCGATGACACCGAGAAGCTGGCTCCTGAAGACCAGAGCACCCAAGAGGATATCGCCAAGCAAGCTGTTGAAAGCGTCCAGCAGCAAGACTTTGATGGCACGACCGAGAAAGCCCAATCCGCAGTCGACGACGCTAAGGAAGAAGCCGAGGAACAACTGCCACCACTATCCTCACTTGAAGGTATGAAGTGCACCAAGTCAGGCAAGATCGTCGACCCGAACACTGGCAAGCCAGTCGGTGAGCTCATCGAAGGCGATCCAAAGAAGATCTCCCGCATGGGAGCTCAATTGGACGACAAGGGCCAGTTCTGGGACAATCGTGGCAACGTCATCGGCAAGGCAAAGACCCTTCCTGTTGAGGACTACGAGGGCGAGCCGCCCTTCGCTGGCCTAGAAGGTCTCCACGTTGTTGAGGACGGATGGGTTGAAGACGACAATGGCAAACGAGTCGGCAAGGTTGTTAAAGGAGACCCGAAGAAGCTTCTTGGACGTGCGGTCGACGAAGACGGAGATATCACTGACAAGAACGGTAATGTTATCGCACAGGCTGAATACTACGAAGCCCCCGACGAGCCGGAGCCTGAGAAACCTGATCTTTCTCAGCTGAACGGCTTGAAGCCTAACAAGCTGGGATTTGTTATTGGTCCAAACGGTGTGCCCATTGCCCGTGTGGTAGAGGGGAATCCAAAAGAGCTGGCCGGTAAAGAGATCGACGATGGCCAGATCTGGGACGGCCGCAAGCCCATTGGACGCGTGGAGCTCATCCCCGAAGAGGAGCGTGAAAAGAAGCCTGAAGGCGTGTTTGCCGGTCTTGACAACCTTGTCGTGAATAAGGAAGGCTTCGTCGAGGACGATGAAGGCAACATTGTCGGCAAAGTGATCGAGGGCGACCCCAAGAAGCTCCGCGGCCGCGCCGTCGATGAAGACGGAGACATCATCGACAAGTTCGGCAATGTCAAAGGTCACGCCGAGCCTTACGAGCCAGAAGAGGAGGAGGAGGAAGAGAAGCCGGATCTATCTGTTTTGGAGGGAAAGACGGTCAACAAGGCTGGCAACGTCGTCGACGCGCAGGGCAATATCTACGGACGTATCGTTTCCGGAGATGGGAAGCGCCTTGCTGGCAGAAAGGTTGACGGCCAGGGCCAAATCTGGGGTGACAATGGAAAAGTCATCGGCAGAGCCGAGCTCGTGCCTGGTGCAGAGCAGGAGAAGCCCGAAGGAAAATTCTACGGATTCGACAATGCAGAAGTCGGCAAAGACGGTGTCGTCATGGCCGGCGGCCGTATCGTCGGCCGTGTCATTGAAGGTGATGCCAAACGACTCCTTGGTCGTAAGGTCGACGAAGACGGGGACATCCTCGACAAGAATGGCAACACCATCGGAAAGGCTGAACGCTGGGAGCCAGAAGAAAAGAAGCGTGATGTCAACCCCATGTCGGGCCGAAAGGTCAACAAAGAGGGCGAGGTCCGCGACGCTGACGGTAACCTCATTGGTAAATTGACATCGGGCAATCTGCCAACCCTCGTCGGCAAGGTGATCGACGACAACGGCTATGTTGTCGACAATGATGGAAACAAGCTGGGCGAGTGTACCTTGCTCGAGAACCTGCCAGAAGAGAAGGAAGAGGAACCGGAACCCGAAACAGGACCGACCGAAGAGGAATCGGAGGCCCAGAAGAAGGCCGAGCAAGACAGGGATCTGGCGAAGAAGATGGCTGGCATCATCGGACAGACTCTCGATCGTCTTCAGCCTACCTGCAAGAGAATTGCCGAGGTAAGTTGACAATCAACCTGTACCTTATTTGAGCTAATTTGCTAACTGGGCTGTTGCAGCTGCTCGAGAGAGCCGATCGCACACCACGCGACGAACTGGACGAAGAGAAGCTAGTCAAGGAAGTCAGACCCCTGATCGAAGAGGGCGGACAGGTCCTTCAGGAATGCAACGGAGCCATCCGGGCTCTGGATCCCGATGGCTCGATCGCTTCCACTGCCAAGGCTCGCGCTGCATCACACGAAGCAACTCCTGAAGAATATGCCCTCGCCGAGAAGATCAAGGAGCTGAGCGAGCTTGTGATGAACACGATCGAGAACGGCCGCAAGAGGATCGCAGACATGCCTCATGCAAAGAAGAAGCTCAACCCTCTGTGGGCCCTGCTCAGCGAGCCTCTCTTCCAGATCATCGCGGCTGTTGGTCTGCTTCTTAGCGGCGTGTTGGGCCTTGTAGGTCGTCTGCTCGAGACTCTTGGATTGGGTCCTCTTCTGAACGGTCTGCTGGGTGGACTGGGTCTCGATAAGCTCCTCGGTGGCTTGGGATTGTCTTCTCTAACGGATTCTTTGGGATTGACCGGAAAAAAGAAGGACTAAGGGAAATTGAATTGATTTACTATTGATGAGCTGGATGTTTAATTTGAGCACTTTACTGATTTCTGCCATCGAGATTGATCACGAGGTTTGTCTCACCTTTTCGGCTTCTTCAGCTTTTCTGCTTCTGCACAATGTATTTTAATCGCCCTCTAATCTGGTGTCGTTCTATGAGTTATGAATGTATAGTAATCAAGTGAATATTTCTATCTATATTACCATTATGCATCTATGTATAACTCATGAGTCAAATGTATCCACACACCACCGGCTCCCAAGCCTCACGGTATGACAGTTATGTGCGTCGCGCAGGCCATAACCAAACTCGTAAGAAGTCACTCGTCATGGAGTTGAGGTTATATCCCCAAGCGGCGAAACAAAGTATAATTACAACAGAACGTAATGGAAATCCAACGCTCATAGACAAGCCCTTAGTGTCATAAGCAAGGGCCTGAATCCAAAGACGATCAATGATGGGGAGTGCCTGCTTGGCGCTCCATAGGATGAAGGTAATAATATCGCTCGGCATCAACTAAACAATGACATGAAAGTGCGATCAGTGGTGCTTGAGCCCACCCTTGAGAGGATCCGTAGCATCGGGGACCTGCAAAGCGCTCTCACCGAAGTTGCGATAAGCCTGTTCCCTGGCCGTCGAGCGATCTTTTTTGATGGTGAGGCAGTTAATACCCAGGAAAGTCGTAATACGGTTGATCACCAAGAACGCCCAATGCATGTAGGCGACAAAAGCAAACAATAGATAGGCCCTCAGGTACAGAAGCTCTACCCATGGACTCACCGCAGGGAGGCCGAACCGGGGCAGATTCGCAAGAACCGCACCGCCAATAAGCGGCGTGAGCTGGACAGTCCAGTACGGAAACGGTTGCCTGAGCAGATGAGCCAGGATGATCTTGGTGGTCATCCGTCCGAAGACAAACGAGATTGTCCAACAATACAGGACTAGTCGATTTTGAGCCAGCAGAGTCGAGTAAGGAGAGAAGAGCCAAGCAATGTTGCAAACGGTAAAGACAATCATTGGAACCCACTCCCTGAAGATGGTTGACACTGGAAGGCCTTGCTTTTTGCGAGCTTCGATGACGTTGAAGACGCATCCCGGCAGATGCCCGACAAAGAATGATAGAAGAAGGAATGGAACCCAAACGTCCTTAACCGAATAAGTACCGAATATCTGAGGATAATTTAGGAATTCAACGATCGGGCGACTCCATATCTGAGGACCATAGTATCCGGAAGCGATCATAATTCCGATCGCGACCAGCAAGCCTTCGGTAGGTCCATTGATATAACCCAGGTAGAGAGTATGCGTGTGGTAAGTCTCCCAGGTCGAAAAGTACATCGCGAGGCAGGGAACAAGAGCGGTGTAGGCTCCTAATTGGGAAGATCCAAAGCCCATTGCTGCTGTCTCCAGCAGACTAGCCAGGGTGCAGTTGAGCGAGTCAATTCCATGGCTGGAGGTGGTTTAGTGACAATCCATAGAGCCTCGGAGTGGTTACCTACTCAAATAGCTCACCCAGTCCACTCGACGTCCCGGTCCTCCGCGCTTGCTTACCATCGACGTTATCCAAGGTAGAATACCTATTCGATCAGTCACTTGCACAAACAGCACGCCGCGCATCTCGTTGACTTACATCCACATGCCAAGAGCGAAACTATAGTACAGCCAGGAAGGACCCTTGGACAGAGTGTCAGTGACTTATGGGTAGATGTCATCGTGTTTGAGCGATGCGTACCGGTCCGATGAGATCTGGCATAAACACCTCTATGAGCATCACATTTCCTACTATGAAAAGGAAGCCCAATAGCGTGACCATGTTGGGAGCAATCCATAGCGGGAGAACTTCGACAAATGCATTCCACTAGTGAGACAAATCTTTCCGTCAGAGCGAGGGCGTACGGTATGTGGGGAAGAGCGATGGGCGTAATACATAATGCTTCAGGATATAATTCGAGATGTAAGACTTATCCACGCTCTGGTACTTGTAACTCTTCAGGGGCATCAAAATTTCATCCGTAAGCGTGTCTTGGGTCGCTATAAGACGAGAAAAATAAAATCGATTAGTTTAAAGAAAAGCCTATGCGATAAATAGATCTGAACGGACCTTTGATCCTCCTGAAGATTGCGCTCATCTTGATCTTGGTTGTATGCTGTGAATTCGTCCCAAAGAAAATAATGTCGTCTCAATTTGTTGCGCCAGGTTTCATAGCGTCGTAKGGGAGGCGCTGGAACAATCCAAGACAGGCCAATTACTTCAGAGGACCTCAGAGATTTTGCAGAGCTTCCAATCTAATGTAAGTGCTTGATCCGAAGCTCGTAAAACCTCCAGAGGCAGATAAAGCAAAAAAAAGAGGTTAGATTTCTTTGCGGAGGAATAATAATAGGATCGGACTCTCGGAGGTAACAGCAGATTACGATCACGTGTCGCCGGAGGAAGCTCCGCATCTTTCGACGCGACATGACAAGGAAGTGAGGTGAAAGTAGATCAGCTCGAAGAAACACTTCTTGGCCGTTCCACTTTTTCCCTGCCTTTCCTTCATTTATTCTATCTCCAAATATAGCTTGACTGAAAGCGAAATTTCCCACGAGTCTATTTCGATTACATCTTCTTGCCTTTGGCAACTTCGCTCCTGCTCACTTCCACTTTTCCCCGCCGTTGACGAAGCTTTATTTCATTGACAATTTTTCTGACCTCATCTTTTGAACGTCTCACAAGGAAGTATTACGAGAGGATGGTTGCTCACTGAGCTGGACATGACGGTGGATGGTCAGCGTGGCGCTCACGGCGCAGTGCACGATTGAGTATCTTGCGCGATGCCAGGCGTCGTCGATACGCCCGGCGGGCCTCTATGGCCAGGATTGGGATTCACTGTCGCACACCAGAAAGTTGAACTGGATATAGATTTTGCGACCAGAAGCCTCAGGGGAAAGACAGAAATCACGATCCATCCGCATCACAAGGACCTTCGAATCATTCGATTGAACTTCCGACAGGGCGAGCTGAAACGCTTAAATGTCAATGGAAAGGCGCCTACGATCAAATATGCGGATCCCTACGAATCCCTCCAGCTGTACGGTCCTCATTATCATGAACGTCTGTCGACCAAAATCGAGGGTTTGCTCAAGACGTCCCCGGAGCCGGACCTGCTTGTAACCATTCCGAAAAGCGTTCGGATTGAGGAGCTCGATCCTTTCTCACAGGAAGCTCAGGACCAAATGACTTTGCGTGCTAGTGATACAGGAGAAGACACGGATGGGCCCTTGGGTTCGAAAGCGGCAGAGACTTCGTTACCTCGGTTTTCGGCGCTCACGGTCTACATCGAGTTTGCGATTGAGAATATTAGGGATGGGCTACAATTCGTCGGAGTAGACAACGGCGACAGGCGCTATCCGCATGCTTACACAACAAACTCGCTCGGTTACGGCGCTGCAAGTCCCCTGTTCCCTTGTGTTGATGACCCTTTGTCTCGTTGTACCTGGGAAATCTCCGTCAAATGCCCGTGCTCTTTAGGCGATATCTTCGACCGCAAAAGTCGGGATCCGTCTGGCGCTCATCGTTCAAAGCCGACACCTGGGGGTAGTCGATTCATCTCTCCGGACGACGAGACTCTTGACTTGTCAGTGGTTTGCTCCGGGGATATGACAGATGAGATTGTCGATCCTCGGGATCCTAGCAAGAAAACGGTTTCCTTCGCATGTGCCTCGCCTCTTTCTGCCAAGCAAATTGGCTTCGCCGTCGGGCCCTTTGAGTATATAAACCTTTCCGACTTCCGTGAGAGCGATCAAGATGAGCAGCTTGGCCAGAACGCTATTCCTTTGCACGCGTTCTGTCTCCCAGGAAGGGGAGATGAAGTCAGAAACACCTGTTTCCCCATGGCGAAAGCTATTGACTTCCTTTCGCTGACTTATGGTTCGTATCCTTTCGCGAGTTACAAAATGTGCTTCGTGGACGACACTCCCGAAAACACGCTGCCAACTGCGTGCTTGTCGATATGCAGCAACCATCTCCTCTTTCCTGAGGATATCATTGATCCAATGTATGACTCAACACGAGCTCTTGTCCATGCCTTATCATGCCAGTGGATCGGTGTCAATATCGTTCCCAAGGAACCCACAGACACTTGGGTCACAGTTGGTGTCGCCTGGTATATTACCGATACGTTCTTGAGGAAGCTTTGCGGGAACAACGAATATCGTTTTCGCCTGAAACAGATGTCCGATCGAGTGTGCGATTTGGATTATGAACGTCCCTCGCTCTATGATATGGGTAACATCCTGAACCTCGATCCTTCTGAGATTGAGTTCATCGCGCTCAAAGCGCCCCTCGTCCTTTTCATTCTGGATCGACGCCTCACAAAAGCAAGTGGGAAAGCAACAATGTCTCGCATTATTTCACGCATGTTCCTGAATGCCCGGATGGGGGATATCCCCAATGGAGCCATCACCTCTTCCCAATTCCAAAAGATATGCGAACGACTTGGCCACGCGAAGTTGGATACGTTCTTCCAACAATGGGTCTACGGTGCTGGATGTCCTCGATTCCAAGCCACACAAAGATTTAATAAAAAGAAATTGGTGGTGGAGATGATGATTAAGCAAGTTCAAGCTGATCAACCAAGTGCGCGCGATCTCGACAAAAACTCATTTATGCGCGATGTCAAAGAGGAGATTCGAGGAGTCTATGCCGGGAACATTCAGCCAGTGTTCTCAGGTTCTATGACGATCAGGATACACGAAGCTGACGGTACTCCTTATGAGCACATCGTTGAGATCAAAGAAGGTGTCACCAAGTTCGACATTCCTTACAATACCAAGTACAAGAGGCTCAAGCGGAACAAAAGACAAAAAGAGCGTGCAGCTGCAGTATCCGGTGGGGACCCAAATGCGGAAATACAGGAGGATGTGTTACTATATTGCCTTGGTGACGTGCTCCAGACTGAGGAGGAAATGCAGGAGTGGAGACTCGCAGACTGGAGTAAAGAGGACGAGGATCGAATGGGTCAGGAATCATACGAGTGGATTCGCATGGACGCGGACTTCGAATGGATATGCAAGCTTTCGCTTGTGATGCCGGGTTATATGTACCTCTCGCAACTTCAACAAGACCGCGATGTGATCGCACAATTAGAGGTGAGCGCATGACCTGCCCTGATCCTTTTCTTATACTGACAGTGATAGTCCCTGCAATACATGGCAGCTCAGCGAGAGCACCCCCTTATCTCAACAATCTTTGTTCGAACCTTAATGGATCGGAGGTACTTCTATGGTATCCGTGAAGCCGCGGCGCGAGCTTTAGTAAAACATGCGAAGGAAGAAATCAACTGGTTAGGACTCTTTCACCTTGAAAGGGCTTTTCAAGAGCTGTTCTGCCTCCCTGGATCGCCCATGACTCGCTCGAACGATTTCTCCGACCGGGCGGCATACGTGCTTCAGCTCGCGATCCCTGAAGCTATATCTAAGGTGCGCGATAATGACGGAAAGACCCCATTGAGAGTCAAGCGCTTCTTATATGATAAGCTGAAATTTAATGACAACTCTAACAATGAGGTGAGGCAACTCGTTTTCTACAATACGCATATGTCTCCACTTACACTTGAATAGTATTCCGATAACTTCTACGTCGCCACTTTGATGCAGTCGCTATGCCATGCCATGCTCGGCAAAGTTGAAACCCGCGACGTCGACGTCGATGATTTCGACATGGAACGCATGCTTGAGACACAAGCTGAAGAGCAGCTGGAAAAAGACGCTATTGCGGAATTTGATCGGTACAGGAGAATGGACGAATGGTCTAGTTCGTTTCAAAACCTCTACTCTCGTGCTGCATTGCGCTGTCAAATGCAACTCATGCGTGCCAAGATACTGGACGTGGACGTTATGCAATTTCTACCATACACCCGGGCCGGAACATACGATCTTCTGCGCGCAGATGCCTTTGAATGTCTCGTCGAGCTTGATATATTCAAAAGTCCCGAGCTTTTGAAATGGTTCATGTTCACCATGTCGAGCGACCCTTCCCTTTGGCTCAGGCGACGACTTCACGATCTGTTCGGCAAGGCCTTGGCCCCAGTTGCCTTTGGTCGTGAACCGGAAAATGAGCCCTCCGCTAATGTCGATAACCTGATAATCGAGCAAGAATCCTCAACCAAGGTTCGCCAGGCGGATCTTGCGAGGAAGCAAACCGTCACTGGAGCCATCGAGGCGCTTAAAGGGGAAATTTCTGGTGATCAGAATTTCAAGGAATGTCTCTGGGCAGCATGCAACTCTCCCGGTATTGGCATTCTCGAGCTTTCCGTATTTGCGGATCTGTGCAAAGTCCTGTATGACTCGGTCACGTCGGTGATGGTGAAGTTGAAGTACCCGCGGTATTGGCAAGTCAAGCATCTTGGAAAGGTAAGCACGTCCAGATCTTGCATTTTCGCTCTTGATACTAATAGTCACAGGGCCGCATGCATTTCTCGCGGTCCAGCCGAATCCGAACCACTCTCACACCCACAAAAGAACCCTCGACAAGTGGGAAGCGCAAACGCGAAGAGACCGGGATGCCTCCACCTGGGCCCCGTATCACATTCAAGCAATCGAAGCTGGGTTCAACCACTCCCTCAGCAACTCCTCACCCCACCTCGCAACCCATTCCGAAGTTGCATATTCCAAACGTTTCCGCTTCACCGGCACCTCAGCCGCTGAAGACGCCGGCTGCTCCGTCCACGCCGTCGACACCCAGTGGTGGCGGCGGTGGGCTCAAGCTGAAACTCAAATTCGGCCAGAAGCCGAAATAATTTGCTTACCCGCTGTGGTATTATATCGAAACTTCACCTTTGTACTTTATTACATCGCATTTATGCAAAATCTGGAGGGGAATGGTTGAACAAGCGTCACGGCGCATGGCTGGAAGATCTGTTTCAAACGATTTATACATGTTGACTTTTATTGTCTTCTACAACAGAGCTGCATGCTCACTTGCATTGGGGTTCATCGGGTTCCTTGTTTGATGCGATTTCCTCGGCCTTATTCTCAGTGCCTCATGAATGACGATATCTTGACAACAGTCATGCCTGTAGTCCCAGCGCGACTTATCTGTAGAATTCATCTGGTAAGACTCAAGCCCAGTCACGCGGAGATCAGGTGTTCT